GGCCGCGGCGGCGACCAGGGAGAAGGAGCCGGGGGACGACCAGAAGGTGGGGAGGATCAAGGAGCTGACTGAGCGGCAAGAGCAGTTCTGGGAGATGGTAGACGAGGACCTCGAGGAGGAGGTGATACCTGAGTTCGGGAGGGACAGCCTCGAGCGGGTGATCGAATTCACCAAGTACTGCAAGTACGAGAAGGCCATCCCCGAGCTCCAGGAGCACCAGGAGATCGACCCCGAGTTTTTCCCGGGCCTGCGCGCGAAGCCGTGGTGGGACACCGCGGACTGCGGCGCGTGGATCGACAGGGTGATCGAGGGCCTGCCGTACGTGCAGGGCGAGCTCGCTGATTTGTTGGAGGAGCAGGAGGAGGCCCTTATCTCCGACAGCGTCCAGAACGACGTCATGGGCACGGGCTGGTCTGGGTTCCGGCTGCAGCGCCTCGGCGATTGGATCCCGAAGAATTGCGAGCAGTTCCCCCAGACGGTGCAGCTGCTGAAGGAGTCGGGCGCGCCGCTGGCCATGCGAGGCGTGATCATCGCCCGGCAAGTGCCGGGCTCTGGCGTGGCCCCGCACAGCGACGGCCGGAACTTCTTCCTCACGGCGCACTTCGGCCTGAGTATTCCTGAGGACTGCTCCATCACCTGCGGCGGGCAAGAGCGGAAGTGGGAGGAGGACGGGTGCATCGTGCTGGATACCTCCTTCAAGCACTCCACGCGGAACGACTCCGACGAGGACCGCTTCGTCCTCATCGTCGACTTCTGGCACCCCGACCTCACCCAGCCGGAGCGGGAGGCCTTAGAGTACATCTACGACTTCCGCACCAAGTTTGAGCAGGGGAAGGTCAAGTACCAGCCCAAGATGCCCACCGACTTCTGGGACACCCTGTACCTCTACAGCGCCTGGGGCGGCGCGTACACGGAGGAGCCGTCGGGGAAGATCGTCCTCACCGGGGACGAGCCCGAGTTCCCGTGGAGCCCGCAGGGGCGAGTCTGGTGACGCGGGCCGGCGGCGGCGGGGTGGGCCGCCCCCGGTGCCAGAAGTCGGGGGGCAGTCCTTTGGTCTCCGCCTCTCTTGAGTTCGTGCGTTCCACGCGCCCCCGCGCGCTCCCGCGCGCGCGCGCCCGCGCGGTCGCGCCGCGCCGCCGCCCCACCCCCCAGTTTTCCCCCACCCTTGCCGGGCGGGCCCCCTCCCGCCGGCGGGGCGCGGAAACGCTCCCGGGAGAGCGGCGAGGCAGGAAAAACAAAAAAAAAAGGTTAGTGTCCATGATACAAACGTGTTTTTTCCCCACATGGTTTTCGGGGTGACACGTGTTACTTGTGTGTTGTTTCACGTTGTATGGCCCCATGTTAGCGTCCAGACTACAAGTGAAACAATTGGTTCAAGCGGTTTTCGGGGTGACATGTGCCAGCCTTGTGTGGTTTCACATTGTATGGCCTCATGCTGGCGTCTGGATTACAAGTGAAACACTTGTTTTTGTTTCTCGAGGTGATACGTAAGTGCCACCCCTGCTCTGTTTCACGGTATACAGCCCCATGTCGGCGTCCAGGGTACCAGTGACACAATTGGTTTGGTTTCACTGTTTCGGGGTGACATGTGTCATCTTTGTGTTGCTTTACATTGTATGGCCCCAAGTCGGCGTCCAGAATACGAGTGAAACATGTTTTTTCTCACGCGGGTTTCGGGGTGACATGTGCCACCCTTGTGTTGTTTCACACTGTATGGCCCCAAGTCGGCGTCCAGAATACGAGTGAAACAATTGGTTTCTCTCACACTGTTTTCGGGGTGACACGTGCCACCCCTGTGTCGTTTCACATTGTCTGGCCCCAGGTTGGCATCCAGAACCCGAGTGAAACAATTGGGTTCTATACGGTTTTCGGGGTGACACGTGTCACCCCTTTGTCGTTTCACATTTCAGGGCCCCGTGTCGGCGTCGAGCATTCGAGTGGCACAATTGTTTTTTCTCCCGCGGTTTTCGGGGTGACACGTGTTTTCGGGGTGACACGTGTCCCCACATGTTTTGTTTCACACTGTATGGACCAACGTCGGCGTCCAGAAGACGAGTGAAACACTTATTCGTTTTCACACGGTTTTCGGGGTGGCACGTGTGACCCCTTTGCCGTTTCACATTGTATGGCCCCGTGTCGGCGCCGAGCATACGAGTGACAGAATTGTTTTTTTCCCATACGGTTTTCGGGGTGTCACGTGCTACGTTGCTGTCGTTTCAACATGTATGACTCCATGTCGGCGCCCATGCGTGTCCCATACTTCGGAATTATGGGAAACGCAATTCTGGCCCATTGAATGCGGCTTGTCAAGGGAAATTGCCCCCCCCATTATTCGGAATTCCGAGAATTCGAATTCTGAATTACAGGAAACGCAATTTTCTTCAAAAAACGCACCCAATGAGCCACACTTGAGTTTCCCATAATTCGGAATATGTGAAGTGCACTTCCGGCCCATTCAGTGCGGTTTGTCGAAGGAAATTGCGTTTCCCAGAACCCGGGATGCTGAGACTTCGAATTCTGAATTATGTGATACGCAGTTTTCTTCAAACAACCGCACTCAATGAGCCACAGTTGCGCTTCGCATAATTCAAAACTATGGGGAATGCAATTCTGGCCCTTCGAGTGCGGCTTTTCAAAGGCAATTGCGTTTCCGATAATTCGGAATTCCGGGCATTCGAATTCTGAATTATAGGAAACGCAATGTTCTTCAACAAACCGCACTCAATGAGCCACAATTGTGTTTCCCATAGTTCGGAATTATGGGAAACGCAATTTTGGCCCATTGGGTACGGCGTTTCAAAAGAAATTGCGCCCCCCATAATTCGGAATTCCGAGAATTCGAATTCTGAAGTATGGGAAACGCTTCAACAAACGCATTCAATGAGCCACAATTGCGTTTCCCACAATTCGGAATTATGGGAAACGCAGTTCTGGCCCATTGAGTGCGGTTTGTCACGGGAACTCCGTTTCCCATAGTTCGCAATTCTGCGAATTCGAATTCTGAAGTATGAAAAACGCAATTTTCATCAAACAGCCGCATTCAATGAGCAACACTTGCGTTTTCCATAATTCGGAATTATGGGAAACGCAATCCTGGCCCATCGAGTGCGATTTTTAAGGGAAGTTGCGTTACCCATAATTCGGAAGCCCGAGAATTCGAATTCTGAAGTATGGGGAACGACAATTTCAAACAAACCGCATTCAATGAGCCACAATTGCGTGTCCCATAGTTCGGACTTATGGGAAACGCAATTCTGGCCCAATGAGTGCGGGTTTTCAGGGTAGATTGCGTTTTCTATAATTCGGAATTCCGAGAATTCGAATTCTGAATCATGGGATACGCAATTCTCTTCAACAAACCGCACTCAATGAGCCAAAATTGCGTTTCCCACAGTTCGGAATTATGTGAAGCGCAGTTCTGGCCCATCGAGAGCAGTTGTTCAAAGGAAATTGCGTTTCCCATAATTCGGAAGCCCGATAATTTGAATTCTGAATTATGGGAAACGACAATTTCTTCAAACAAACCGCATTCAATGAGCCTCGATTGCGTGTCCCATAGTTCGGAATTCTGGGAAACGCAATCCTGGCCCATGGAGTGCGGATGTTCAACGGCAATTGCGTTTCCCATAATTCGGAATTCCGAGAATTCGAATTGTCAATCATGGGAAACGACAGTTTCCTTAACAAAAACCGCACTCAATGAGCCACAATTGCGTTTCCCATAATTCCGTGGCCCATTGAGTGCGGTTTTTCAAGGGAGACTGCGTTTCCCATAATTCGGAGTTCCGAGAATCAGAATTTTGAAGTATGGGAAGCGCAAATTTCATACACACACATATGTGTATATATATACATATACCTATATGAATATATATATATATATATATATATATATATATACATATATATAACACTCAATGAGCAACAATTGCGTTTCCCATAATGCGGAATTATGGGAAACGCAATTCTGGCCCCTCGAGTGCGGTTGTTCAAGGGAAATTGCGTTTCCCATGATTCGGAATTCGAATTATGGCCCCCCCCCCCCCCCGGACTACAAGGACCCCCCCCAGATTACAAGGGCTCCCCCCCGGACTACAGGGACTCCCCCCCGGACTACAAGGACCCCCCGGGGCCCTCCAAAGAATTGCTTTATTTTATCGCGATTGCCTTTGATCTTGTTTTTTCTGCCTTTAGCAGCCTCCGTGTGAGGCAACAGGTTTCTGCAAACATTGGATTACAGGCACTGTCCAGCCGCCCGTGCTTTATCCATAACCTACCTCCAGGGTTGTGCGAATGCTTGCCCAGGGGCTCGATCCATTCGATCGCCAGCACAGCAATGGCCGCCATCGTCACCCGCCGTCCGCCGAGTGCTCATCATTATCATCATCATCAGTATCATCATCATCATCATTATCATCATTGTCATCATTATCATCATCAATAGCAGCAGCATCAGCAACACCAGCACCAGCAGCATCAGCAGCAGAAGCATCAGCAGCATCAGCATCAGCATCAGCATGATCAGCATCATCATAGTCATCATCGTCATCATCATCGTCATTCTCATCACCAGTACTATCACCTTCAGACGGGGTGAAGGTCCTACATGCGGCCTGGCCAGGGCTTCTGTGCTGCCCTACGAAGGAGGAGGAAAGGAGGAGGAGGAGGAGGAGGTGGAGGAGGAGGGGGAGGAGGGGGGAGAGCGGATAGTAGGAGGATTGGAGGGAGGAGGGACGGGAAGGAGAGAGAGAAAGAGAGCAAAAATATAGAAAACAACAAAGCAAGCAGAAGAGGTAACAAGAAAAAGAGAGGGAAAGGGAAGGGTAAGGGGACTGGGGAGGGGAAGCGGGAGGGGGGAGGGAAGAATGAGAGGAAGGGAGGGGAAGAGGAGGCGAGGAAGACAAGGGGGAAGGGAGGGGCAATGGAGGAGGCGGCGGCGGCGGAGAAGAAGCAGGAGGAGCGAAGGAAGGAGAGGGGGGCGCGCGCGCGGCACCCCCAAGGGTGACCAGAAGTTCAATAAGTGCTGGCCGGCGATCAAGAAGGCGCCGCGCCCTGCGGCGGCCAGCGATTTTCCTCTGATGTTGGCTGCTTTCGGGGTTCCTCGGATGTTAGCTGGTGTTAGCGATGTTTCTCTGATTGTAAGCCGATTCCCACGCAGGTTTTCACATGCCCTCATTTGTTTGTCACGTTCTGCCATGCTGGCGCCTCAGCGCCACGCGCGCGGAGCCGAGTCCGAGTCCCGGTCCGGGGTCCCCTCGCGCGACCTCCTGAATTTGCCCTCGCGGTCAACACCACAGTTGAGCATAGGCCCTTTTCGCGGGGAACCTTGCGTCTTTCGGTCCTGGCCATCCTGAGTGCGCGTACGGCCTCCCCGGCCCAAGGGTACCCTTGCGGGCGCGTGCGTCACTGGTTTTCGTTCTTGCATGTTCAGCTCGTTTTTTCTCATTTCGGTGCGTCCCAGGTCTCTTGCATCCTTGAAATTCCGTCCTTATCGCGGATCTTGATTATATTCCTTATTGAAGGCTTCTGGGTACTGCCACCAGCCCCCTCGCCGGAGTCATCGAGGTATCCGTCGTCGCCATCCTCGTCGTCGTTATCTTCTCCTCACTCTGTCTCTCCCTCTTTCCTCTTGGGCACCCAAGGGGCCTCCCCTGTCTAAGTGATGCAAGGGATTATCGTTCTAGGAGCGTGGAGCCATTGTAGCTTACAAAAGATAGCACGGACCCAGTGGAATTTGCCAGGAATCGTGGGCCTGGGAGCGTAGATCCAACGTAATGTGCGCGTCGTGTCCCTGGCAGCGCGGAGCCAGCGTACTGTACAGCGGACAAAGAGAACAACAAACGGCATGACAAAGCGGAACCGAACCGAACATGGCGCGAACGAGAATCCCATAACGGATAAACAAATGACCCCAGTGTTGGAATGCGCGTGGATTTCGAAAACGGGGGAAAGGCTATGAAAAACGCCCCTGGCGTTTATTTAGCACCATCCAGGGCGCGGCGTACGTGTGTCCTCCGCTCGCCTGGTCGCCCAGCGGGCAACGTGCCGCTCCCGCTTTCTTTAGCGCCGTGCAGGTTTCGTCTGCAGGCGGCCCTCCCGCTTGCGTGCGGCGCATGCTTTGCTCTCGCCGAGGGGCCCCGGCCACTTGGCATTCTGCCCCTGGCGCAACGTCGGCGGCTCGCTCCACGGTCAGCCTGCCTTGCGCGCTGTTGCCGGTGCTGGAGGTTGTCTGCGCGCACCCGTCATCCGCGGACTCTTGGCGGCCGGGGCTGCTTGCCCTCCTCATCGATCCTCCTCCTCCTCCTCCTCCTCCCTCCTCCCTCCTCCTCCTCCTCCCTCCTCCTCCTCCTCTCTCCTCCTCCTCCTCCCTCCTCCTCCTCCTCCTCCTCCTCCTCCTCCTCCTGCCCTCCTCCTCCTCCTCCTCCTGCTCCCTCCTCCTCCTCCTCCTCCTCCCTCCTCCCCTCCTCCCTCCTCCCTCCTCCCTCCTCCTCCTCCTCCTCCTCCTCCTCCTCCCCCTCCTCCTCCTCCTCCTCCCTGCTCCTCCTCCTCTCCTAAATCCTCCTCCTCCTCCTCCCTCCTCCTCCTCCTCCTCCTCCTCCTCCCTCCTCCTCCTCCTCCTCCTCCTCCTCCTCCTCCTCCTCCTCCTCCTCCTCCTCCTCCTCCTCCTCCTCCTCCTCCTCCTCCTCCTCCTCCTCCTCCTCCTCTCCTCCTCCTCCTCCTCCTCCTCTTCCTCCTCCCTCCTCCTCCTCCTCCTCCTCCTCCGCGGCCGTCCTGCGCTCTTCTGCCCGCCTGTGGTGCGCCCAGTGTCCGCCGCGTCCCGCCGGCTCTGCCCAGGCGCGCCTGCGATCGCCGGCGCTCTCGAGGAAAAAGCGCGTTGATTTCGCACAGAGCACGGAGGGGTTGCTCAGGACGTCCCGGGGCGGTTCGCCCCTCGAGGGGGGAAGTTGTGCGGCCACAGCTCGGGCGCGCCAATAGGGGGAGGCTCGGGAGAGGGGGATGGGTCGATTTTCCACCACCACCACAGGTAGGACGGGCGAGAAGGGAAGCGGGGGAGCTCCTCCTCCTCCTCCTCCTCCTCCTCCTCCTCCTGCTCCTCCTCTGTGTCCCTCGGCCACGCGCAGAGGGGGGCAGGGGGAAGGGGGGAAGGCTTCCCAGAAGGAAGGGAGGAAAAAACACCCAGACCGGACAACGGGTGTTTACTAAGCGGCCCTGGGCGTTTACGAAGCAGCCCTGCTCTGTTCGATCTTGTCTTTGGGCGCGTTTACGAAACGGCTTCGCGTGTCGGGGTGGTTATTATGGGGGTGGATGTTTGGTTTTCTATAGAAGCACCCCTGACAGGGGTGCTTCTAAGGTGCGGGCCTTGAAGGTGCGGGCCTTGTCTATAGATGCAAGGCCTGCGCCTGCTAAGAAGCAGCCGCCTTCTAAGAAGCCTTTCCCCCTCCCCCTACCCCCTTGTGCGCGCCGCCAAAAGGTTGAACAATCCACGCAGTCTCAAACGCCTAAGTCGTCACGTCAAGTCCCCCTACCCAGTCAAGCGCCGCCAAGTCCCACCCGGGCACCTTCCCGAAGCTTTGCCGTGGGAGCAGGCGCGAGTCCAGGTTGCCAGACGAGCGACGGAAACAAATCGGGCAAACGTAAGATTCGAGTACGCCGGAACTCGGGCTTGCCGACGCTTTCTGACGAGTGCGTCGTGGATTTTGACGGTCCAGTTTCCGTGGGATGTCTGCAGCGGGAGCTCGCGTCAAGTTGCAGATTGGGTCTCGTCATTTTCATGATGGCCCCGTCAGGCCAACCCGAATCCCCCGAACCCGAGTCATACGTCTCCCCAAAACACGGGGTCGTTTGCGCCGACATTGGCGCGTAAGCTTCCAGCGTAAGGTCGCGCGTAAGCGCCCTCGTTTCCGGCTGGCGGCCCGTGTAAACCGCCGCGTCGGGCCGCTGTGTCAGCTTGCGTACGGTCCATTTCTTGTTCTGACGGGGACCTTGGACCACGGTCTTGGGTTACAGGTGCGGTATTGTTTGGCAATGAATTGCTTTCGATCACAATTGTGAGTTTGAGATACGGTGGCGCTTGTCGTTTGTGCCGACGGGGATCCTATCCCCTCTTCCTTACCAGCCCCAAGTTACTCTGCTTGAGGCTTTCCTTCCCAGCGAGGTCATTGTGAGGGCCTTCGTCGCAGTCAACATATTTCTTTACCTAACAGCGAAGACTGATAGGTTTCTAATGGGGTCAAAAGAGAGCATCTGATGACTCCCCAGGGGGGTCTGGGCGGGAGCCAGACAGGCGAGGGCCGGGCTCGTTTTAAGCAAACAGTCACACACTTCGTGCTCTTCGACCTCCCAGAACTCCATTCCCGGGCCACATGTTGAATGCCCGGAGCCAACTGTAGGCCACTTCGTGCTCTTCGACTTCCCAGAACTCCATTCCCGGGCCACATTTTGGATGCCCGGAGCCAACTGTAAGCCATTTCGTGCTCTTCGAGCTCCCAGAACTCCATTCCCGGGCCACATTTTGAATGCCCGGAGCCAACATTAGGCCACTTCGTGCTCTTCGAGTTCCCAAAACTCCATTCCCGGGCCACATTCTGAATGCCCGGAGCCAACTGTAGGTTATTTCGTGGTCTTCGAGTTCCCAGAACTCCATTCCTGGGCATGATTTTGAATGCCCGGAGCCAACTGTAGGCCACTTCGTGATCTTCGAGTTCCCAAAACTCCATTCCTGGGCATGATTTTGAATGCCCGGAGCCAACTGTAGGCCACTTCGTGGTCTTCGAGTTCCCAGAACTCCATTCCTGGGCATGATTTTGAATGCCCGGAGCCAACTGCAGGCCACTTCGTGTTCTTCGAGTTCCCAGAACTCCATTCCCGGGCCACATTTTGAATGCTGAGGCAGGCTGAGGCTGAGGCTGAGGCAGGCTGAGGCTGAGGCAGGCTGAGGCTGAGGCCGAGGCTGAAGGCAGACTGAGGCTGAGGCTGAAGCAGGCTGAGGCTGAGGCTGAGGCAGGCTGAGGCTGAGGCTGAGGCAGGCTGAGGCTGAGGCTGAGGCTGATGCAGGCTGAGGCTGAGGCAGGCTGAGGCTGAGGCCGAGGCTGAAGGCAGACTGAGGCCGAGGCTGAAGCAGGCTGAGGCTGAGGCTGAGGCAGGCTGAGGCTGAGGCAGGCTGAGGCTGAGGCTGAGGGCTGAGGCTGAGGCTGAGGCTGATGCAGGCTGAGGCTGAGGCAGGCTGAGGCTGAGGCCGAGGCTGAAGGCAGACTGAGGCTGAGGCTGAAGCAGGCTGAGGCTGAGGCTGAGGCAGGCTGAGGCTGAGGCAGAGGCTGAGGCTGAGGCAGGCTGAGGCTGAGGCTGTGACTGCGACTGCCGTTGCCACTGCGACTTTCATCGCGAATGCGACTGCGACTGCGAGAACAGCAGAATTCTACAACTGGAGTCTCATGTGAATCTTAAGGGGAATGCTTCCAGATATGCTCCTACACATCGCTGTTAGGTTGCTTTGCCGGGATAATTTTTCGTCGCTCAGACATGCCGGCATCGGTTCTTCTGTTGCAGGAGGGGGGTGGGAATGAGCGGGGCCTTCAGGCTCGTTCGAGCTGGCCAGATTGGTTCTTCATGATGTTCCAATTCTGCCACCGAACGCGCCGATCGCAGTTCAATCCGGCCCTTCCACCGTCCAACTTGTCAGAGGCGATGCAAAGTTTTCGCTGCTCAAGTCGAAATATCAAAGTGAAAGGGCCGAACAGTCATTCACTGTCGTTGGGAGCGTGGCTGGAGTGAGGTTCTGTGGTGCGCATTCTGGTAGTGGAAGTAGTCGTCGTAGTAGTAACATAGTAGTAGGAGTAGTAGTAGTCGTCGTCGTCGCCGTCGCCGTCGCCATCGTCGTCGTCGTAGTACATAGTAGTAGTAGTAGTAGTAGTAGTAGTAGTAGTAGTAGTAGTAGTACTAGTAGTAGTAGTAGGAGTAGTAGTAGTAATAGTAGTAGTAGTAGTAGTAGTAGTAGTAGTAGTAGTCGTAGTCGTAGTCGTAGTGAGCGTCGAAGTAGTAGCAGTAGTAGTAGTAGTAGTAGTAGCAGTAGTAGTAGTAGTAGTAGTAGTAGTAGTAGTAGCAGTAGTAGTAGTAGTAGTAGTAGTAGTAGTAGTAGTAGTAGTAGTAGTAGTAGTAGTAGTAGTAGTAGTAGTAGTAGTAGTAGTAGTAGTAGTAGTAGTAGTAGTAGTAGTAGTAGTAGTAGTAGTAGTAGTAGTAGTAGTAGTAGTAGTAGTAGTAGTAGTAGTAGTAGTAGTAGTAGTAGTAGTAGTAGTAGTAGTAGTAGTAGTAGTAGTAGTAGTAGTAGTAGTAGTAGTAGTAGTAGTCGTAGTAGTCGTAGTAGTCGTAGTAGTCGTAGTAGTCGTAGTCGTAGTCGTAGTCGTAGTCGTAGTCGTAGTTGTAGTCGAAGTCGTAGTCGTAGTCGTAGGCGTAGGCGTAGGCGTAGGCGTAGGCGTAGACGTAGGCGTAGTCGTAGTCGTAGTCGTAGTCGTAGTAGTCGTAGTAGCAGTAGTAGTAGAAGTGGAAGATCTGGAACTGGAGCTTGAGCTGGAGGAAGACCGAGGACGGAGGGAGGGAAGGAGGGAGGGGAGGAGGAGGTTGGACGGAGGAACGAGGACAGAGGACAGAGGACGGAGAGAAGGAGAGACGGAGGGACGGAGGGGTGGAGGCAGGACCATCAGCAGTCGCGTCGGCAGCGTCGGCGGCACAAGAGGGGTCCCAGCGCCGCAGCGGCCTTACCCGCCCAGCGCCAGCCTGCCCCGTCGCCCGCGAGCCATGTCGTCGCGCGCTGGCTTGAAGGATAAGAGCGCCGAAAAGGAGCGCGCGCGTCCTCGAGGAAGAGGGTTTGCGAGGAAGGGCGAGAGCCTTTCTAGGAGCCTCCCCGCTGCTTAGAGGGCGCGGGCCTTGTCTGTCGATGTAGGGCCAGCGCCTCCTACGAAGCAGGCTCCTTCTAAGAAGCCGCCACTCCTCCCCATTACCCTTGTGCGCGCCGCCAAGGAGGGAGGAGAGGGGATCACAGATCCGTTCGGTGCGATCGACATGGGTACGGGAAGAACAGGCACGATGACCGACAGTATTTCTTGCCGTTTTATGTCAGATTCGTTGTCGGTGTCGCCGCAGACGTTGTCCAGGTGAGACAGAGAGGTCCGCCAGCCCAACAGCGGCCGCTGTCGGTTTTGGACAGCGTTTGTTGTAGGGCGTCGTGCCCGTTTTTGTCCGTACCCATTTATTTCGGGCGTCCAGATTTGGGAGGAAGAGAGTGACTCAGAGATCCCCCATTTGTCTTGGTCCGATATATTATCCCAGTCTTGGCTTCGGCTCAGTCCCTTTTGTGCCAGGCTCCCACCCCCCAGACATTTTTTTTTTTTTGATAATTTCCAGCAGGGTAGACTGGGATTCAGTGCCCTTTCCCCGGGGCCAGCTCTTCATCCCGAGTAAGCTCAACACGCCTAGTAAGGACGCGCGCCTCCATCTAGGGGGCCCTTGTGTCCTTGCCTCTGCGGCCCGTCCTTTGCCGTTTTCGCTGGTCGCCCGCCGCCCAAAAAATCCCAACTTCGGCCTCCAAGGGTCTTGCGTCCTTACCACCCGTCCTTGATACACCTTTTGACTGCTGTGTTGTTCGCTGTGCCGGGTCCCGTCGGGGGCTCCCGGAGGCCGAAAGCGGTTGAAAATTCCGCCTCATGAGTTTTTCGCGACGGGAGTGTGTTTGGGCCTTCCGTCCTCCCTGCGGCCACGGGGAGGGCCCTGAGGAGCGTCGCAGCAGGGACCCCAAGTCGTCGGTGAGGGCGCCCCCGAAGAAGGCTGGCGGCGGCGGCAAGTTCACCCTCGGCAGGCCGCTGGGGCGACGGGGAGGACGAGACGGACGAGGAGGACGAGGAGAGGGTGCGGAAGAGGACGGAGGAGGGGGGAGGGAGGAGGAGGGAGGAGGGAGGGGGGAGGTTGGGTGAGAAGGAAGGGGGAGGAGGAGAAGGAGGAGGAGGAGGAGGAGGAAGATGAGGAGGAGGAGGAGGAGGAAAGGAAGAGGAAGAGGAGAGGAGGAGGTGGGAGGAGGAGGAGAGGAGGAGGAGGAGGAGGAAGAGGAGGAGGAGGAGGAGGAACAGGAGGACGAGGAGGAGGGAAAAGGAGGGAGGAGGAGGAGGAGGACCAGTGTAAACCCAAGAGTCACCAACGATATTGGAATAAACCCTCCCTCCAAGCTCCCTCTACATAGGTATGACATAGGCCCCTACAACGGTTCATTTCCACAGAGGGAGCTGCCTCGTTGGAAGACATCCGTTTGAAGACCCTGAAGCATGCCAAAACATTGGTCTCGGGATTCCAATGCCACGGATCAATATGATTGTTGCGTCTTGACGATCCGGAATCCTTCCAGAACGATTTTCTTAGGAGTTCAACGCCGCGAATGAACGTAATTGTTGCACCCTCCCCTTCCCTTCCCCTCCCCCTTCACCGCTAGATACGTAGTTGCGCGCTCGCTGATATCCGCTTCCTTTAAAAGTGGCACCAGAATTGATTTTTCCAGGCGCAGTCGGAGGATCGACGGCCTGCCGCTGCTTCTCTAATTCGTGTCGTCTTCCATACCGTTTTCTCTTGCCCCTCCTCATCCTCGCCCCCCCTCTCCCTCCGCTCCGGCGTTCGTCCCAGGCCTTAGATGTTGCTTCGCTTTTGTTTCGTTTCGGTCGCTCCTGCGCTTACGCGCGTCCCGCCTACCCCTGGTTTTGCTGCGTTGGGCTGCCTGTGTTCTCAGGGCCTGGCCTCCCTTCGTCGGGGAGGGTGGCGGAGTGTCTGAATAAGACTGCTCCGCGGCTGATCGCCTTGGCCCCGAAGGGGTCGCAACGTCTCTGTTTGTTTTTTACTGAACTGGCCGTGTGCCGCATCTTGTACCCCGTGCCCCCCTCGTGCGCGCCGCCGAGGTGAGGGCCGAGGGGCGACGACAGGGTGGATGTCAGAGGAGGAGAAGGCACCGACACCGCTCCCCCCTTCTTTGCCGCCAGCGTGGGCCTCCTGGGAGGCCCTGGTCTCCACCGCGGAGTTCCCCTCGGAGCCCTGGTCGGCACGCACCCCGGCATGGAGCTGTAATCCGCGCGTGGGGTTGTAACTCGTGCATCAGTTTCACGATGATGCTCAGAAGCAGCAGCGTCCGCTTGTGTTGCACCTCATAATCCTGAGTCATTCCAAACGATGTCTGATACGTTGATCGTGGGAGTCAGTGGCGGCGCTAAGGCGAGAGCCACATTTTGAAACGGAACCGCCCTCAATCCGCGAAGCTCTTGCACTTTGTTTAACGAATGTGCGCGGCGCCAAGGCGAGAGCCTCATTGTGTTCTCAATCCGTGAAACTCTTGCAAATGCTAAAATCGAGTGCGCGCGGCGCTAAGGCGAGAACCGCATTTTGAAAACGGGGCGCCCTCAATCCGTGAAGCTCTTGCAAATGTTGAAAACGGATGTGCGCGGCGCTGAGGCGAGAGCCACCTTTGAAAAACGGGTCGCGCTCAATCCGTGAAACCACTGCAATGTTTTAAGACGAGCGCGCGCGGCGCTAAGGGGAGAGCCACATGTTGAAAACGACCCGCCCTCCATCTGTGATGCTGTCGCTATTGTTTGAGCTGCAGGGTCACACATGATGAGGAAACGCCCGCCCAAAAAACTGGCCTCGCGGTGCGACATGGAAAAGTTGCTTATAAGGAAAAGGAATGGAGGAGGAGGAGGAGGAAGAGGAGGAGGACGAGTACGACTACGAGGACGAGGACGAGGACGAGGACGAAGAGGAAAAGGGGGAGCGAGAAGGAGGGAGGGAGGAGGAGGAGGATTAGGGTGCAGGGAACACTTCTTCCTCCCCGCGGATCGCATGACGGCGCCTTGCCTCCTCCTCCTCCTCCTCCGTAGCCATTTTGGCTCAAGATGCTTGCACTTGGGGGCTTCCGCGCCCTCGTGCCAAAGTGGGATAGCTCTGTTTCCCGAGCCAGACAATCCGATTTTTCAGGGGTCCTCCTGCTGGAGGGCTCGCGAGCCCCATGGTCCCACCGCCTCCCGTCTCCGATGTGCTGCGCGGGCCCAGGACACCGTTCTGTGGCGTGCCGAGTCCGCTGCCGCTGCGGCACGGCTGCCCCAGCTCGCATTGTTGCCGCAGCCAAGACCGCACACGCTAGAGCTGAGAGGGCTGAGAAGGATGCGCAAGGGAGGAAGCCCGTGCTTGGTGGCCGTCGAGCCACACCAGCGCCATGGGCACGGGACCAGAACGAGGAGCTCCGCAAGCAGATGGCCGCGCTCGAGCGCAAGTTGGCCAACACCAGCCTCAAGGACCCGACGCCCGACCAGGGTACAGGTGCTGAGAGGCTGAAGGATGCAGGAGCTACCCGTGCAGAGATCCTCTCGTCGATCTCTCTCTCTCTCTCTCTCTCTCGCTATCTCTCTCTATGAAAAGTACCTCAAGGAGCCGTCGCTGCCGCCTAATGTCAAGCAGGCGCACCAGCTTGAGATTGAGACCCTCCGTGTGCAGCTCGAGAGTGTCCAGTCTCCTGAGGCTGCCCATCGCAGGGCCCAGGATAAGCTCAAGAATGCGCAGTCGCAGCTGGTCAAGCTCCAGCGCGAGGCTGAGAAGATGTCCAAGCAAGTTCATGATCTCCAGGCTGCACTGGGGAACAAGAGGGCCGCAACTACTTCCAAGTAGGCGGAGATCGACGGCTACAAGAAGTCGTTCGTTGAGACCGCCAAGGCCGTCGCCCCAGAGCGGTCCCTCTTCCCTGAGTTCAAGTTCGACAAGGATGGGCTCCCCGAGGAGATCCGCACCGCCCTCGAGTCCATCGGAGCGGAGACCACTGCCAAGTTGTTCGCGGACCTCGAGGGCCAGGTGCGGAAGGCAACCGCACCCGAGCCAGCGGACGCCCCCATGCCACAGCAGCCCGCTGAGGGCCCTGATGAGACTCCTACTCCTGGTGATGCTGACTCCCCTGGTGGCGGCGTCAAGCGTGATCTCGACCCCACCTTCGAGGAGTCAAAGGAACTGTTCGAGCTCGTCAAAGGGGGCAACCCTGCTGACAGCAACGAAGACCTCATGCAGAAGTTCCATGACAAGCTGCTGGCCATGCACCGAGACAAGCGGCAGCGTCTTTGATATGCTTGTAGTAGTCAGCAGCTTGCCTGCTCATCACGGCCAAGTTCGGCCACCACCGAATGCTGACCCTAGAAGCCAGTTCTTCGTGGAGTCCTTCAACGCCAACCGTGGCATCCGTACGCTGAAGGAAAATATACAGGCTTCGTCAGCGACTATCTTCGTCGCGCAGGAAGTTGGATTCCATGATGATGCGAATGATGATTGTGTTGCCTGGGCAGGTCGTCGTGGGTGGAAGTGTCTTACCAGCCCTGGCGCCAAGCCCAAGGGAACAACGCTCACGCAGGGTGTTGTTGTACTTGCTAGGGATCACGTTGGACTTCGGGGACCAGGTTGCGCCCACGCTGTCCTTCACCATCGCCGCGCACTGCACGCTGTTGTGTACCTTCCTGGATGGCCACCGTTGCACATCGTCTGTTTCTACCTGGTGGTCAACCAGGGCATCAAGGGCAGGAATGCGCGTATCCTGGCCCAGATCGGCACGCGGGTTTCCGAGATTGCCGACCCCGTCGTCCTGGTTGGCGACTGGAATGCTACGCCGAGGGACATCGAGGAGTCAGGTTTCCCGAGAGTAGCCAAGATGGCACTTGTGGCCCCGTCCCTGCCCACACGCATTACACCCAAGTCTAGCCGTACGATTGATTTCTTTGCTGTCAACACTGTTGCCAAGAGGTTGCTCGAGTCCGCCCACGTGGACACCTCATGGCCGAAGCGACCTCACCGTCCTATTTCAGTGGGTCTCTCTGCGGAAGGCCTAAGGCAGCAGCGCATGGTATATGCGGTGGCAAAGAAGTATGGGGCCGAACGTTTCATTGGTCCTGCACGAGAAGGCTCTGACTGGCAGCACCCCGCTGCGATGGCTGAGGCGGCCGTCGATGCTAGTCGCCAGAAGCCTGTTCGTGGAGCATGGTGCATTTTGTCGCGAGCGTGGGCTACCCTCGCCCATGCCGCCGAGAAGGAGGTCAGTGCAGTCACTGGCCAGCGCACGTCCAGCAGCGCTTCGTGGGGAGCGCCGCCCAAAGCCAGACGGGTTGACTACAATCACCGCCCCGAGACAGTTGCTGAGGCCAAGGCGATCTCTCGCTCATGAGGCTCAAGCACACTGCGGTACCTTGTCTGGAAGCCGAGGTGGATGTGTTTTCGACCGCTGAGTATTTCGGGCAGGGTCTATGCGCACGTTTGGACGCCAGTGTTCTTGAGGCGCGAGTCGCTGTTGGTAATGCCTTACTTCGTGCAGCTGGGGCCCAGGGCCCGCCACCAGCACCGTCCACAACACATCTACGCTCTGAAGTGGCCCCTGCGGCCGCTACCGTGGTTGGCCCCTCAGGCCAGGAAGGATTGCACGTTGATGGCCTGTTTCCTGATCAGTTTGACGAGCCTGACATCGACCAGGACGAGTTCTTTGGCATCAATGCGCAGCTCGGGGACCAGACTGGAACCGCGTCTCAGAACGATGATTTCGAGACCTGCGTCGCCCCTCGGATCCACCGCGATAGCCACCGAGCTGCTGAAATTCTTGAGCAGCACCGTCGAGACATTGCAGCTGATGCACGGAAGGCCGAGCTGGATGAAGTTAAGGATGATCGCCAACGGTGGCAGGACTGGTGCGACACGGCATCGTCAAATGGTGCGCGAGGACTTCACCGCACTACCCGAGTTCCCAATGCACCTCACCCTACGGTAGTTCGTACTGCTGGAGGGCTTACGGCACATCCTCATAATATCGTCGAGGCCGACCGAGGTTCGCAAGTATCAGAAGCTTTGGCATGCTAGCCAGGTTCCGAGCCAAGCCTGGGCGCCTGACAGGTCGGCAATGGACAGGGCCAGCACGGACATTATCCGCGATGTGGCCAACAGCTTCCCGCACACCACAACGGCCAGTCTTGATCGAGTGCATCCTCGTCACTTTGGGCTTCTTCCTCGCGCTGCGCTCGACACCATGGCAGCGCTGTTCGAGGCGTGCGAACGGATTGGTCTATTGCCTCACCAGTTATGCTTCATTGTCATGCCCATGCTTGCCAAGCCTGACCAGGGCCACCGGCTGATAATATTGTACTCGGGCATGTACCGTGTATGGCAGAGGCTTCGTCGCCGTGACCTCGATGGCCTACACCAGCAGCTGCGCCGCCCGTACTGGGGCGCCGTGGCAGGCCGTAGTGCACTCGATCTGTCTTGGTTGCAGGCTGCGCGCAGTGAGGCTGAGGTCAGCCAGAACAATTATAGCCTTTTGTTTCTGATGGACTACAGCAAGTTCTACGAGGGCATCCCGCTGGAGGTATTACGTGGACGCCTCCTTGCCTGCGGCATGCCCATGCCGATTCCCAAGTTAATTTTCAACACGTGGCAGTCACCGCGTATCATTCGCCTGGGCCTGCACCACAGTTGCACAGTCTTGTTCGCCACTTTCGGGCTACCAGCAGGCTGTGCATTTGCTGATGTTGCGGTTCGAGCTTTCACGATCACAGAGTATGACCAGTTTGTGCGCCGCAACCCGTCGATCGATTTCATGAGCTACATTGACGACACTGGGGTCCACGTGAGCGGCCGTGACCGTGACATCGTTGCAGGCATCGCGATCCAAGCGGGTGTGCAGTTCCAAGCAGTTTCGAGACGACTTCAGGCCACTCTCAATGATAAGGTCGCCGTCGTGGCCAGTGATAGTGCCCTTGGCATGGAGGTGACCACGAAGCTCGGCCTCGCCAAAGATAAGTCCAAGCCAGCGGCCGCCTACCTCGGCACGGACTTCGCCTGCGGACGGCGACGGGCGCAAGCCCGCACCGCTGGCAAAAGGAAGATGCGTTTGAGGAAGTCCTCCCAGCGCCTGGCCAAGGCGGCCAAGCTCAAGTCCATGAGGAAGGCCGACGAGAGGCTCGGAAGAGTCTACACCACTGGAATCAAGATGGCAGCTCACTACGGGGTCGAGGTCAACGGCGTCGACGACCAGGAGCTGCTCGCCGTCCGCCGCCAGGCCTTGTCCTACCTGGCGCCCGCGACGAGGGGTGCGAGCTTGCGCGCCAAGCTGGCCTTGCACGGTGAGCCAGCGGCGCGTGAGGCCATGGCACCCGCACTCCAGTGGTCTAAGATGATATGGCATGCTGTGGCTTTCCCGTCTGGTGCACTCGTAGGCCTAACTGAATTAGAACGTATGTGGGGCCGCGTTTTTTCCCAGGCTCAGTCGGATGTGTCCTGGGCCCAAACCCGCGGACCGATCTCCAGGATCCCGCTTTGCCTCGCTCGCGTAAGGTGGAAGCCTGTGTCAGCCACTGAGTGGATCGACCAGGATAGCATCACCATCCAGCTCACGCAGTGCTCCCCTGCGATGCTAGGTAAAATGTTCAGCACCGCGCTCCAGGCTGCCCATGAGAAGTCGCTCGGGGAGAAGTGGGGGTTTGCTGGAGGAGTTAGGGCCAACCTGGACGTGGTCAGGTCTTGCCTCAGGTCCAAGACTAAGTATAACGAGTACCAGAAATATTTAGTTCAAGCTGCTGTCTGCGACTGTTTGTGGACGGAACAGCTTGCACATGACAATGGTTATGTCACTCATCGAGCTGGCCGGTGTGAATGCGGTGAGCCTGACACCACCCATCATCGGCTTTTTTTGCTGCCAGCTCCCAGCTGTAGCCCAGGCCCGCGAGGAGGCGGAAGTGCCTTTGACTTTCCTGGACGAAGCTCGGGAGGACCCTGGAAGTTTACTCCATTTGAAAGGTGTCGTCTCGGTGCTCCCAGGGGACATCCCTCTTGTCAAAGGGGCCCCCGAGGCCATGGTCCTGGACGGTCTTGGGGAGGCTTTTCCCGATCTGGAGCCCGAGAAGTCTGTGCAATTTGTCGGTCATAGCGATAACCTGCATATCGCGGTGGACGGTAGCAGCACCATGCCGATTTTGTATTGTTTTCAGCGTGCTGCGTATGCGGTAGTTCTGTTTGACCCCCAGGCCGAGGCTACCCTTTCGGTAGTGCGTGGCACTGTGCCTGGAGGTTTTCCGCAGTCCCCCGCGATGGCTGAAAATTTCTCGATTGCTGTTGCCTGCCAGATCGCTGATCGCAGTTCCTACATGCATGCCGATTGTAAAGCAGCAATAAGTCAGGCCCTCCTTCCTGAGCACGAACAGCTTCGTGCGAGCAAGGTGTTCGCTGGCGTATCGGCCTTCGCCCGTTCCCTCAGTGGACACGGCCACATCAGGTCCATCCAGCATGTCAAAGCGCATCGAAGCGAGGGCGTGATGGATAATTTACCGCTTGTGGAGCGGGCGCCTGCGAAAGGTAACCGTGCTGCGGACCTCCACGCCAAGGAGGCTCTTAAGATGCACGCTCCCATCGGACCCGAGGCAGCCAATCGCCTAGAGTCTGAAGTAGAGACCGCCAGGTATTTTGTCAAACTTGCAGCTAGTGTGCTACCAGCCTTCCAGTCCCGAGCGAAGCGCGTCAGGCCCTTTGCCCGTCACCGTTCTGTAAAGTCAGCTCCTGGGTGGCATGAGTGGGGGAGTGGATTGCTTGGTATGCAGTGCAAGCATTGTCTGGTGGTCGCCCATGAGGGTACCCCCCAAGAGGCTCTGGGTTGCTCTGGGGCCCCCGACTTCGTTCGTCAGGTCGTCCGCCGTTCCCTGGGGCACCTGATTGTTGGTGTGGCCTCTCACCAGATCCACCCCAGAGCCCCAGAGCCATCGCAAGCCAAGTTGAGTAGGCTACAGTTTCTGTGCGTTCGTTGCGGCTGCTGGGCCCAGAGGTGCTCCCGTAATCTTGACAAGGAGTGCCAACGACCCTCTAGGAAGGGACGCGAGGTACTAAGTAAGTACTCGCGAGGCCTGGGCCCCAGTAGTCGCGTCCGTCAATTGATTGATAGAGCTGCTGCGGTCACTGCAATGTCTGTGGTCCCCAAGCCGCGGTTTAAGACTCTTGCCTGTACGTCTGTTCCTTCGGCCCATTCGAGTGCCCCCACCGTCCCTGAGTACGAGAGACGGATGGCCGCCCTTGCTGAGCGAGTGCGAGCCAAGGAGGCCCTCCAGGCTGAGGAGTAGTTTTGGGTCGTGGCACCCCGTCGCGGGCCCTGGTCAGAGTGTGGGGAGCTCTGTCCTCCAGGGTAACAAATCCCTCTCCGAAGGGTGCCACTTCCCCCCATTGTTTGTTTTAGTCTTGCGAGACTCTTCCCCTCGGGGCTGTCCTAACCTAACCTCCTCCTCCTCCTCCTCCTCCTCCTCCTCCTCCTCCTCCTCCTCCTCCTCCTCCCAGCTCCTCCTCCTCCTCGGTCACCCTCTGGCTCCCCCCGCCTCTGGGGCCGCCTCGGCCAGGCCAGGCGACGAGGGCGCCGCAGGCGACGAACGCGCCTACGACGAGAGGCGCACAGACCCGGAGGACGGCGAGGCCAACGCGCCCTGAGGATCGACGAAGAGGAGGAGAACGCGGAGGATCAGGAGGACGAGGGCGAGGGGGGCGAGGAGACCGAGGAGGGCGAGGAGAACGAGGAGGACGATGGGGACGAGGGCGCGGAAGGCGAGGAGGACGAGGAGGAGAAGGAGGAGGAGGAGGCTGAAGCTGAAGCTGACTAGCTCGATCCATCCGAGGGATCGCTCGCCGCTGCGGGCGCCGGCCACGAGGGAAGAGGAACACTCCAAACATGGCCGAAGAGGCAGCCCCCCAAGGGGCCGCCACCAACCCCAGGACCCCGAGCGAGGCCCACAGGGCCCACAGGAACCCGCGGGTTCCTGTGGTCACCGAGGCCACAGGAACCCACGGCCAAAAGAGAGAGTTCCACCCCCCTCCACCTGTCAGCGTTCCGAGAATTCCCCCAAACTGCTCCTGCCTGAAGTGCTTCACGTACACATTCATGAGCAGGATGCCGCCGCGACGGTCGCCTCCGTCGACCGCTGCTTGAGGGCGTCCTCCAAGCCATTAGTCTTAGGATTGTCGATGAGGCCCTTCGCACTGACCTCGCGGAGGGCCGCGAGGAGCTGCGCCAAGTCCTCCTGGCCGAAGTCACCTGCGGCGCCGTCGGTGGTCCCCACGTCGCCTCTGAGCGCAGGGAACGGCGGGATTTCCGCCAACATCTTTTTCTTCGCCTTCTTGCCCTTCTTACCCTTCTTCACGAAGCCGTCCACGCCTGCGTCAACGGCATCACCAATGAGGAAGTGAACTGCACCTCCACGACCTTCTCCTCCGTCGGAGACCGTCGGGCAGTCCCTGACGAAATTCTTCCCCGTCGTCTTCACGTGGCCGTCCATGCCATCGTCACCGGCATCGCCAATGAGGAAGTGAATTGCACCTCCACGACCTTCTCCACCGTCGTCCGTCGGGCCGTCCCTGACGAAAGTCTTCCCCGTCGTCTTCACGTGGCCGTCCATGCCATCGTCAACGGCATCGCCAGCAAGGAATTGAGCTGCACCTCCACCCTCCCCCCTCCACGTCACTCCCGATGTAGAACTCCTCCAAGCCCGTCTTCACGGTGCCTCCTGCTGGTTCGCCGTCGCCACCGACTTGAATTTCGTCCACCTGTTGGGCTTCGTCCAGACCCCCCAACTGTCGTCCTCCTCGTCGTCCTTCTCCGGGTTCGTAGCCTCCGGCCTGGCAGTCCCGCGCGTCAGCTTGCCCTCCAGGCTGGCCGCCACGGTCTGGTCCTGCTTCCCCTCCAGCTTCTCCATGCTTGCCTTCGAACCCTGTTGCGCCTGGCTGTCTGCCTTCATCTCGCGCTTCAGCTTGAGCTCCGCCGCCTCGAACGGGTTCAGGTTCATCCAGATTCCCGAGTCCTTCGACTTGCGTCGCCTCGGCGGTGTCGTCGCTGTCCTCCGAGACGTAGCCAGCCTCTCCACCTGCTTGACCTGCTTCTGCTTCCCTTGGCCTTTGCCCACATCCTGCTGCGCCCTCTTCTTGCAGAACTCCTGCTCTTTCTTGATCTCCTGGCTCCCTGTCGTCGCCTTGAACTCCTTCTTGATGGGTCTGGCCTTCGCCCTCCGGCGCAACGGGCCGTACCCCAGGCCAAGGTCCGTCAGGCTGGACATCCTGAACCACGATCTCCACGCAGTCCTCGGTGCCGACCTGAGCGCCCGCCAGGAACGCGGAGATGTTAACGCCGAGCGGCGTCCCGAGCAGCGCGGCCGAGATGTAGAAGCGCTAGCGCGGCGCCGTCATGCGCCCATGGCCCGCGCGCCTGGCTCGGGGCGGCTGCGCGACTCCGAAGTGCGCCGCCCCAACCCCGCTGCTGGGGGCGGAGCCGCTGAGGAGGAGGAGGAGGAGGAGGAGAAGGAGGAGGAGGAGGAGGAGGAAGAGGAGGAGGAGGAGGAGGAGACGAGAAGGAGGAGGAGGGGATGGGGTAGGAGGAGGAAGAGGAGGAGGAGGAGGAGGAGGAGGAGGAGGAGGAGGGGAAAGGGAGGAGGAGGAGGAGGAGGAGGAGGAGGAGGAGGAGGAGGGGTAGGAGGATCAGGAGGATGGAAGAGGGAGAGGAGGAGGAGGAGGAGGAGCAGGAGAGCAGGAGGAGGACGAGGAGGACGAGAGGAGGAGGAGGAGGAGGAGGAGGAGGAGGAGGAGGAGGAGGAGGGGGGAGGGGGAGGAGGGAGGAGGAGGAGGAGGAGGAGGAGGAGGAGGAGGAGGAGGAGGGGGAGGGGGAGGGAGGAGGAGGAGGAGGAGAAGGAGGAGAAGGAGCAGGATCTGAGCAAAACTGGGAATCACCAGCGATGCCACAAAGCACTGTCCAAAGTCCCATCCTCATGTTAAATCCTTAATTTGCCTTCCGACTCGCAGCTGAAGCGCCATCTCCCCTCCGAAGATGTATTGATATGATAACCCTTGTTGAAAAGGAATCGCCCCAACTAGTGGAACGAATGAACGACTTATAATCTATGGTTGCCACACGTGTTGAAATCCACAGCGAGAGGCCAACCTTTAAAAGGATAAGGAAATGCCGCACAGGCCCTAAATTCGTGCCCTTGCTACATGTGCTGACTATTATGATCGTTAAGATACAGGAGGAATTCAAGGGAGCACCACACGTTGAAATGAGACCGCTGTCTATTCCTGTAGTTGTTGCAGACGTTTCGGGCGAATGCGCTCGGCGCTAAGGCGAGAGCACCATGACAAGTAGTCACCCTCCATCCATGTTGGTGTTGCAAGGCTTTAGAGAGGATGCGCGCGGCGCTGATGCGAGAGCCACATTGTGAAAAGGAACCGCCCTCGTTGCATCCTCGTAGCTGCTGGAAACGTATCAAGACGAACGTGAACGGCGCCAAGGCGAGAGCCTCACTGGAAAAAGGAACCGCCATCCATCAAAGTAACTGGCGCAATTCTGTATGAAGAATGTGCCCAGCGCGAACGCGAGAGCATCACTCTGAAAGCCACCCGCCGTCCATCCTTGTAATTGTTGCAAGTTGTTCAAACGAACGTGCGCGTCGCCAAGGCTGGAGCCCCATTTTGAAGATCACTCGCAGTTTACCCATCGTTTTTTTTACGACGTATGTACGCGGCGTTGAGGCGGGAGCGCGGTTTTGAAAACCACCCCGAGTCCATCATTGCAGTTGTTGCAGGTTTCAAGCTTCGAGGGAGGAAGTCTCAGGCGAAACGCCCAGCCCGCCCTGCCGACACGTCTGGGGTTGCGACAGGGAGGAGCCATGAACAAAAACAATTGGGAGGAGGAGGAGGAAGAGGAGGAGGAGGAGGAGGAGGATAAGGAGAAGGTGGACGAAAAAGTGGGAGGAAAGAGGAAGGTGGAGGGAGGTGGGAAGTATGCGGAGGGAGGAAAGGAGGGGGTACCAGGGAGAGGAGGAGGGAGAAAGGAGGTTTTCTGCAACCTCTGCGACCAGCGGACGGCGTTCGCGTGCTTGCCCGCTTGGATAACGTCGCCGTCCTCGCCCGCCCTGGCGAGCGAAGTGGAGGAGACTACGGAGACGACGCCAGGGCGCCTGGAGCTGGAATTGCAAAGGCGGAAGATGCAGGCCTGGTCCGCCCGCGCGCTGCTCGCCAGGGCTGGAAAACAGTTGGCGCACCGACGGCCTCACGCTACTGGGCGTTCGGCTCGGGGGGGCGCTTCTGCTGGGCAGTTTCCCAGACGAGAGCGACGGGCGCCGGCTGGACCTGGGCAGCGACGACTACGCCGCGGCGCGATGCGTTGGGACGGCCAACAGGGCGGCTGCGTTAGTGCAAAAGTTTTCCCGGCTCCCCATGTTGGCTTCGCCGCGCCTCCCGGCGACCCAGGCGGCGGCGCTGCTCATCCGGCGCTGCGGCATGCCCCACACCTCCCCGCCGGCGAACTCCAAGGGTGCAGCGGCCACCTTCGACGACGCGCTGCTCGAGGCCTCCTGGGAGCTGGCGCGGCTGCACCCGCTGGGGCCCGAGCAGCGCGCGCGTTGCCGCCTGCCGCTCCAGCAGGGCGGCCGAGGCTTCCGTAGCCAGGAACAGCTCGCACCTGCGGCGTGGGCGGCTTCTTGGGCACAGAACCTCGCGGGCGTCTGCGAACGCACGTGGATGGCTGGCGGAGCTGGAGCACCTGGAGACCTCCGCCTGGCCTTTCGCCGCGGCCTGCCAGGAGGCGCTTGCCGGGCTAATGGCGGGCTCGGAGGACGGGGCCGGGCTGTTGCTAGCCCCGGAGCAGAGACGGCTGCTCCTTGGCGGCAGTTCGCGGGAAACCTTAAGACGAGCTCCAGAGGAGACTCGCGCACAGGCTGGACTCCGAAAACTTTACAGCCTTGCTGATGAGCTCCCTGGACGCTGAGGGACGGGCGCCTCTCCGCTCCCGCTGGGGGCCGCACCCTGTGGCCCAGCAGCTGGCGAATTGTGGGCAGCGCCAGCGGCTGGAGCATTGGAGGGCCCAGACTACCGGGACAATGTTTGTGCGCTGCTGGGCTAGGACTGCGGGCCCGCAGGCAGCCGCCGCTGCATAGCCTGCGAACCAGCGAGCGCGCGGGACAGCCTTGCGGCCAGACGCTTTGCCGCAAAACCCGACACGCCCCCCGCTGCGCTGGCGGAGGAGGCGCGACAGCGCGCAGCAGGGATGTCGAGGACATTCGGGGCCGCGTCCACCGCGAGTGCGGATTCCGCGCGACCCGACAGGTCCGCGTCCTGGCCTGGGATCGGTGGCGTTGCCGCCTCGCGCGGCTACGCAGACGCGCCGCAGGGCGGGCCTCGCAGCGCCTGCGGGGGCGCGCTCAAGCTCGAGCGCGAGGAGGTGCTGGTCTGCTCGGCAGGGCGGCGTTGCGCCCCCTACGCTGGCTAGCGCGGGGCCGCGCGCAGGGCCTTGGGCGACGGCCCCGAGGCCGATGCAGCTGCGAGTACACTGGCACGCCGCTGGAGCGCGGAGCTGCGCACGGCACCGCGCCACTGCTCGCCAGTTGCGCAGCTCTCTCGGCCGGGAGCACGAGCTCGCGGCCTGCGCCGCGCTGGCGGCCGAGCTGGACGGCTAGCCGGCTGCGGGCGGCGCCTGCCAGCTGAGCTGGTTCCAGGGCGCGGGGGAGCTGATCCACCTTGTGGCCCCGATGCCTCTCCTGAACAGCGCGAAGGGCGGGCGGGTGGCACAGACCGGCCGCCGCCTGCAGGAGGAAGAGGAAGAGGGAAGAGGGAGGAGAGAGGAGGAGGAGGAGGAGGAGGAGGAGGAGGAGGAGGAGGAGGAGGAGGGAAGAGGGAGGAGAGAGGAGGAGGAGGAGGAGGAGGAGGAGGAGGAGGAGGAGGAGGACGAGGAGGAGGAGGAGGAGGCGGAGGAGGAGGCGGAGGAGGAGGCGGAGGAGGCGGAGGCGGAGGCGGAGGCGGAGGCGGAGGCGGAGGCGGAGGCGGAGGCGGAGGCGGAGGCGGAGGAGGAGGAGGAGGAGGAGGAGGAGGAGGAGGGCGAGGCATACACGTTCGACGAACTCATGGACTATTACAGAGGTCAGTACAAGAAAAAGGCCCTGGAGGAGCCTCCTCCTCGCCCTCCTCTCTCACACCCTTCATGGGCAAGTGCACTGCCAAAAAGACAAGCAAGGTTGAAAACGGGCCATTGGGATTGGGTCGAGAATTCCATAGGGAGCCGCCGCCGCATCTTCGTTCCATGTGGAAGTGTCGGCCCTCGATTATCGCATTGGCTCACTTTGTTCGTTTGATTTTTGTTTGTGCCGAAGCCGTACGGCTGGTTCCGCCGCGCTTACCCAGAGAACATATGAAGCATGTTGGCCGCAAGTAGCGGAAGTGAGACGGGGCGGGGGGGATGTGGTTATTGTGACGCGAGGGTGGGGATCTCATGGTTTTCGTCACATCCTGCCACAACGTTTGGGTCGTGCTCCACAGCCATTGCGAACATTTGGAGGATTCGCGGGGGTTTTTCTTGGGGGTTCATGGGCGCCCTTGTGGCCCACTTGGTTGCGGGCTGGGTCATCATAGGACCTCTTGTGGGCCACCTGGGGGTTCTGGGACGATGTTGGAGGGGGTGGCTTCCAGCGCTGCGAAGCTGGCGCGCTCTGGGGGGCCCTGTTGGGGCCATCTCGGGAGCCACTTAAGCTTTTTGTTCGGGGCATCTTGGGCAGGTGTTGGAGCTGTCTTGGGCCATCTTGGACGCTCTTGCGACCGATGCCGCGAGAATTTTCAGATCGCGCGAAAGCTGGGTGATTGCTTTTGGGGTCCGCCGATAAGCCGGGCCATCGGGCCTGCACCACCACCCGATAATTTGATGTTGTCGGTTGCGCAGGCCCGAAGGGTGTACACAGTATTGGTGCGCGCGGGCATACGTGGGGCTGCCCCAAGCGAGAAGGTCAGGTTATCGACCAGCATCTCCATCCCCCACCACCATCGGATAACGGTGTTTATCGCCGAATTCTTGTATACAAGCCATTATTGTCGGGGGTATTCCGCTGCCCCCCAGGGCTTCCAAGACGGCCCGTGATGTTCCCAAGAGTGCCGAGGCTGGCCCGCTGGCCCCGGGAGCGTTCCTTGGCCGGCCAAACTAGGTGGCCCAGAGGTGGCCAGATTGACCCCGTGGTCGGACGAGTCGCTCCGAGGAGGGGGGAATGTGGCCGCAAGACGCAAGACTTGGAGACTCGGCTGCTCATGCAGCCGGATGGTGCCAAGGGAAACTGGCACGTGGAAGGAGGGCCGCAGCAAGCTCCTCCCCACCAAGGGGGGCCATACCAGGGGGGAAGTGAGGTGGCCCAGAGATGGCCGAACTCACCCCCAGATGGCCCGAGTCACTGCTCAGGAGGTGGGAGGGAGGATCGAAGACGAGAAAACGCCAGAAACATTAGCTTTCGGAGGTCCGCGCGGATTTCTCGGATCGGCGCTGGGGCCTGGCGGCGCCTCTAGCGCCGCCCTTGGCGCGTTCCGCGCGACAGGGAGGGGGGTCCTGCGCAGATCCGGGGGATCCATGCGGACCTCCAATAGTTTATATGTATGCAGTGTTTTCGTCCCCGAGTGCATACCATCCCAGCCCCCCCTCCGGGCCCCCCCCCAGCGGGAGAGGGATGAAAAGGAAGGGACTTCCTTGTGATTCGAATGCCACCTGAGTCGATTCACCTCGGGTCGGTGAGCTTAGAGAGTCAGGCGTGGCCGCAGGGAAAGTCGGGGCAGAGCTTCGAATGGCAGGGGCAGCTCCAGGAGCGCGAAGACGAGAATCGCGTTTCGCACGTCTCGGCCTGGACCAGACAGTTGCCCTTCTCCAGAGAGCGGCGCGGGGGCACGAAAATGACCGCACGACGCGCATCGCGATGCGCGATGCCCGAAGTTCGGTGACCTGATGGAGCCTCTCTTCCTCTTTCTTTGTAGTTTGGTCCTTATGTTGCCATGATCGGTGTTACATGGCGACGTGCCTTCCCGCCTTTCGCTTTCACATGCCAGCTGGCCAGTTGGGATGGGAAGCGTGTGGGGATCAGAAGGGGCTTGGTGCTTCCAAGGTTTCCCCGTAGGACCGTCCCAGAAGACGTCGGCATCATTTTGCATCCCAACGGCCCCGATCCTCATTCGAGGCTCCTGGCAGTAAGACTCTGACCAGCGCGTGGGGATGGAGAGCACTTCGGGATCAAAAAGGGCTTGGGGCTCCAAGGTTTTCCTCTCAGGCCCTCTGGCGGCAGACTTCGGGCCACTTCGGCCCCGATCCTCACGCGAGGCTCTTGGCAGCGAGACTCTGACCGCAGGAGGGGCGGCTCTCGCTGGTCGGCAGGCGCCAGCAGAATTGAAGAGCCTGCCGCCAAAGGGAGGTCGACACTGGGACACTCGGGGCTGCATTTCGGATCGGCCGAACAGTTTCGAAGCTCGAGGCTTTCGGATGTTGCCGAGGTTCGAGGCTTTCGGACGTCTTCATCGGTTCTCGGCTTCTTTCAGCCTCGGGACCGTCTCCAGCAGCTGCGCCTCGCCGAGATGGTCCTGGGGGTGCCCAGATCGTCCCCGACGGCCGCTGGAGACCCGACTTACAGTGGGGGCCCATGCCAAGAAACACCCTGCTTGCCTCCAGGGTGCCCTGGGCTTCTTGGGTTTCCATGGTCTTGCTGTGGAAAGCGTGGCGTTCCCACGCCAAAAGCCAATGGACGTTCTGGGGTCTCAGGGGTGGGTATCTTTTGGAAGGTTTCTTGTGGACTGGCCTCCACCTTATGACCCGAAGGCCAGACGGCGAAGATCACTCGGGGAGGACTGGGCACCCGGAGGGGTGCGGAATCTGCTGCGTGCAGCGGGTTGCAGCGGTGCCGCCGGGCACCTTCCTCGCTACACGCTGGGCCGCCTCTGGCGCCGCAAGGCGACGGGAAAGCGAGTTGCGTGAGCTGATGTTCGCCAGCCCCTTTGCCTCGGAAGCGACGAGAGGGGCGACTAGGCCAGTGGGGAGCAATAGATGGATCCAGAGCCTCTGATCGCCCACGGCTTTGATGAGGCTCTCGGGCAAAGGCGTGTTTGTAACGCCCGCCCATCGTCTATCCGCCCCCATCGTCCGCCCCGACTGTCGTCCGACCCAATTCTCGAGCTGGCCACCCACGGTGAGTTCGCGCCGCGTCGGCGCGTCGGTCACCCCAGCGCGGGCGTTCAAGTTGAACGCCGCCAGAGGCTTGGAGCTGGCCGACACCGAGCGATCGGCGCCATCGTAAATCTGCGATCGTTCAAGGTTAAACGAGTCACGAGGTGTCAGAAAACAACGCCGACGTCGTCACGACTCTAATTCTTCACGCTTCGCGACTCCCCACCAGCCCATTCAGACACTCTGCTCATGAGATTTGACGTGAAAAGGGATGAAGATACACATGTAGTGAAACAAAACGGGCAACGTGAACATATATCTCTGGGAGCAAGGGGGTGTCCTTGGAGGGCCTCCTGGGGCCATCTTGGAGAGCATCGATCAAAAGAGAGGAGGTCGTCGATTTCGCCATCTTGAGGAGCCCTCAAAATGGCCTCTTGGAGCTGTTTGGGGGCTCTTTAAGAGGATCTTGAGGTCCTCTCGGCGCTCCTTCGGGCGGTCTTGGGGCCTTCTTGGGGCTCTTTTGGGGCCCTCCTGGGAGCCCTGGAGGGCCTCCTGGGGCCATCTTGTAGGCCATCGGTCAAAAGGGGCTCCCCGAACTGAGTGCCCACCTCTGGGGCCCTCCATACCATTTCTTGGGGCCCTCTTACGGCGCTCTTGGAGCGCTCTTGGGACCATTTGAGGAGCCTTTTTCGCCCTTCTTGGGGCTCTGTTGCGCCATCTTGAGGCCCCCCCAAAGCGCATCGGGATCGAAAAGGCGAGAACGAGCAAATATTAGATGTCCTTAGTTTTTTGGAGGGGGGTGTGGGCCTCTTGGGCGGGTCATGGGGAGCTCCGAAAGCACTCGAAACCGTCTTGGAGCGGTATTCGGGGCCTCTTCGAGCATGTTGGAAGCAATCTAGAGCCATCTTCGGCTATCTTGAGCCATCGTGGAGGCCATCTTGGAGCATCGGACGCCCTCTTGGAGCTGTTTTGTGCCATCTTGTGTGCACTGACCGCTGACGAAACCGCCGAATAACCTCAGGGAGGGGAGGGAGGGTACCCCTCCCCGCAGGGAAGAGGGGTTTGGGAATGAGGAAAAACAACATCGTTAGACCACCTACGCCAAGAGGACTGGTGGGAGTCTGCCGTAATTTCGGCCATGGCTCGAGCAGATCCCCTGAACAGACCCAGACCCCGCCCTCCTCTTCGGTTTAGGCGGGGCTTCTTGCTTTCTTTGTGGAGGAGTACTGGGAGAACGAGTGCGCGCCTCTGCGGAAGAAGAAAACTAAGGGGAAGCCTGCTGCTAAGGTCGAGGTCGGTGCCAGCCCCGCAATCCCAGAGCCGACCCCGAAGTCCAAGGCAAAGTTTAAGACGCAGGCCAAGAAGTTGAGCGCAGAGGATCTCGAGACCGACGGCCCTCTGGCGAGAGAGATTGCCCCTGTCATCCCTTTTTTCCCCTTTAAGCAGATCGAAAGGTTCTACGACATCCAGGGCCTTCTCAAGCACCCGAAGCTGTTGAACGCGGCATGTGCGCTCATGGCCAAACGATTTCGCAAGCTAGGGGCAACCAAGGTGGCCGCGTTCGAGGCCCGGGGTTTCTTGTTCACGCTGGTCGCCATCAAGATGGGCGTGCCTTTCGTCATGCTGAGAAAGTCAGGGAAGATGCCCAACACCATCTCGAGCGCCCCGTACACTAAAGAATACGCTGGCGTAGACTCGATCTGCATTCAGAAGGACATCGTCGCCCCTGGCGACAAGGTGGTCCTTCTGGACGACCTAGTTGCCACAGGCGGCACCATGTGCGCAGGAGTCGAGCTGATGAAGGCATGCGAGGCGGAGGTCGTGGAGTGCGCGTGCATGGTGGAGCTCAGGGCGCTGAAGGGGCGGGAGCGGCTGATGAAGGCTGGCGCCAAGGCCGTGTGGGCCATGATGACGGAGGAGCCAGGGCCTTGCACGATTCTCTCGAAGAGGGCATCCATCAGAGGAGGAACAAGTACCGATACCGCTACCCTTGCCTCGCTTTCACCTTTTCTGGCCTCCTGGAAGACCCTCGTCGCCGCGGCTGGATTCGCTTCGAAATTCTGGTCAGAACGCACCCCGGGAGAGGTCTGGGGAGTAGCGGTCTCGGTACCTGTTTTGTTCCCCATGCACGACTCTTGAAGAGAAGAAGAAGAAGAAGAAGTGACGGCATAAACATAAATCGTCGGAGGTCCGGGCAGGTCTCTCGGATCGGCTCTGGACCCCCTCTCCTTGGCGCGCAGAGCGCGTCAGGGGCGGCGCCAGCGGCGCCGCCGGGAGATCCCAGCGCAGATCCGAGATATCCGCGAGGACCTCCGAACATGCATGATCATGTTTTTTGTTGCTTGCTCCTGTCACTTGCCTTTCTTTGCCTTCTTCTTATCATTCGTTCCTCTTGCCTTTCTGGGTGCTCCTCGTCCTATCAATACCATTATCGTTGCTCTCCTTATTGATCATTGGCTTACGCCGCACCGTCGACCCCTTGGGCCGTCTTGGAGCCCTCTTAGGGGCCTCTGGGGCTATCTTGGGTCGATCTTGGAGGCTTCCTGGCCTCCCTGTTACTATCATCATCACTGCCCTCCTCGTGCCTCCGATCCCGAGTCCTCCCTCCCTGCTCGACCCGTTCGATCCTGCGGGGCCCCGGGCGCGAAGGTCAAGCCGCGGGCCGCGGGCCGGGCCAGAGCTGCCCACCCTCTGGGGCGCGCGAGGGCGCGAAGGTCAAGCCGCGCGGCCGCGGGGGCCGCGGGGAGGCGCGGAGCGGGGCGGCCCAGGGCCGCGCGCGCGGGCTCCCGCGCTCGGCTGAAGCGGATGCGGTGCCATGGGGGGCCCGTGCCAGGAAGCACTCTGCCTGCCTCCAGGGCGCCCGAGGATTTCGGACGTTGCCGAGGTTCGAGGCTTTCGGACGTCTTCATCGGTTCTCGGCTTCTTTCAGCCTCGGGGTCGTCTCCAGCAGCTGCGCCTCGCCGAGATGGTCCTGGGGGTGCCCGGATCGTCCCCGACGGCCGCTGGAGACCCGACTTACAGTGGAGGCCCATGCCAAGAAGCACCCTGCCTGCCTCCAGGGTGCCCTGGGCTTCTTGGGTGCCAATGGTCTTGCGGTGGAGGGCGTGGCGTGCCCACGCCAAAAATCAAGGACTCCCGCGAGGGCGCGAAGTTATTCGCGCTTTGCGCTGTGCGGTCCTCGTTCCTTCTCCCCCTCCTCCTCCTCGTCCTCCTCCTCCTCCTTTTCTCCCTTTGCTTGCCTCCAGGGTGCCCTAGGTTCCTTGGGTTCCAATGGTCTTGCGATGGAGGGCGTGGCGTGCCCACGCCAAACATCCATGGGCGTCGTGGGGTCTCAGGGCGGGGTTTCTTGTGGAAGGTTTCTTGTGGTCGGGCCCCTGCTGTAGCGCATCCTTCGACGGAGGAAGCTTGCTCAGCCACGCGCAGAGCGGGGGAAGGGGAGAAGGCTTCTTAGAAGGAGCCTGCTTCTCAGAAGGCGCGGGCCTTGTCTGTAGATGTAAGGCCAGCGCCTTGGACGGAGCAGCCTCCTTCTAAGAAGTCTTCCCCCCCTACCCCCTTGTGCGCACTGCCAATCTTCTTCAACGACGGAGAATCCCTTCAACCATCTCAAACATCATAGTGAGGGGGGCCCAATGGCCATTCACTGTCCCTGGGTGCGTTGGCAGAGTTGGCCTTCCATCTGGCGGATTATTATTGTTGTGTTGTGGTTGTTGCTGCTGTTGTTGTTGTCGTCGTCGTCGTCGTTGCTGTTGTTGTTGTTATTGTTGTTGTTGTCGTCGTTGCTGTTATTGTTGATCGTGGTGCTCGTGGTGTTGATGGTGTTGGTGTTGGTGTTGTTGTGGTGGTGGTTGTTGTTGTTGGTGTTGTTGGTGTTGTTGTTGGTGGTGTTGGTGTTGGTGTTGGTGTTGATGTTGTTGGTGTTGTTGGTTTTGGTGCTGTTGTTGCTGTTGCTGTTGCTGTTGCTGTTGTTGTTGCTGTTGTTGGTGTTGCTGTTGTTGGTGCTGGTGCTGGTGTTGGTGTTGGTGTTGGTGTTAATTTGTGTGTTGTTGTGGTTGTTGTTGTTGTGGTTGTTGTTGTTGCTGTTGCTGTTGCTGTTGCTGCTGTTGCTGTTGTTGTTGTTGTTGTTGTTGTTGTTGTTATTGGTGTTGGTGTTGGTGTTGGTGTTGGTGTTGGTGTTGGTGTTGCTGCTGCTGTTGTTGCTGTTGAATTCTCATTTCTGAAGAATAATTATTATTGATCCCCCCCACCGGTGCATACTGTTTTTTCTCAATCAAAGTGTGCCCCTCGACGCTCGCAGCCGGTTTTTTGACAGGGAAAGTCTTCCTGCTCAAACTGGGCCCCTGGCCCCCGGGTTACAACAACAACGGCTCCCGCCTGAGACTTCCTTATAATTTAGCCAGGACCCCCGCTCCCGCTCGAGACTTCCTCGCATTTTATTCAGGAATCGCGCTCTCGCTTGGGACTTCCTTACAGTTTATTCAGAAATCGCTCTCCCGGCGCTCTGGAGTCGCGCTCTCGCTGGAGGCTTGCTTGCAACTTACTGATTTCGAAGAATGGCCTTGCGTTGGAATTCCTTGCAATTTGCCGAAGCGCCGCGCTCCCGACACCCAGGCACCCAGGAGTCGCGCCCGTTGTGGCCCCATGTGCATGCCCTTCGTGGCCCCGCTGTCGCCATTTGTGTCCCCCTCACTGTCCTACGTGGCCCAGTTGCTACCCTCAGTGGCCCCATAGTTGCCTTCTGTGGGCCCGCATTATATGCACTTCGTGGCTCCCGCTCGTTCGCGCTCTTCGTGGCCCCATACGCATTCCCTTCGTGTCCCCGCTGTCGCCCTTCGTGGCCTACTTCGTGCCCTTCGCGGCCCTGCTGTCGTTCTCTCTCGCTTTCGCTCGTCGTCGCCGTCGTCTTCGACGTCGTCGTCGTCGTCGTCGTCGTCGTCGTCGTCGTCGTCGTCGTCGTGGTCGGTCCCCTGTTCGTCCCTCTTGGGATCGGGTCGACGGTCTGCGGCCGCCCCGCCGATCAGCGCTGCCGCTGGCCAGGCCGACGGTCCGCGGCCGCCCCGCCGCTTGCGGGGGCCCGGCCTGCAGGGAAGAAAGGTATACCCCCCAAAGGGGGTTCGATCGAAGACGAAGAGGGCGGGTATCGAGGGTTTGGGAAATATTCATTATCGGACACTCGAGCATATAAGGGCGAACAGTCTTTAACTTATTGTTGTTGTTGCTGTTGTTGCTATTGCTGTTGTTGCTGTTGTTGTTGAACATTATTTCTTCTTAAGAATAATTATTGTTGGGACCCCTGGTGCGCGCCCCCCCCGCCGCGCCTAGGCCGCAGCCACATTTTCATCATTTTCGCGAGGAAGTCTCAGGCAAAACAATGTGATCCAGATCCGGTTGTTTTGTTCCCCCCCGCTTTCCCTTGCAAAAAACACTATAAAATGAAATTTCTTGTTCTAACATAACCAAACTTCAAGAATCCCTTGCAAAAAATAAGGTAAAGTGGACATTCGCGCGCGCAAGACGAAATCCTTCCAAAACCTTAGTGTTCGTAGCGATTTTAACATAAAAACATCAAAAAACAATGGTTTTTCAAAAAAAAGTGTCAAAATTTCATCCCGCGCGCTCTTGCGGATTCGTAGGAAACCCAACACTTTTTAAACATTTCTGTCAAACGGGCTTTTGCGAGCAACTTTTTCGAACTTCTGCAACAACGGTTGCGCACCTGCCAGGGCCATCATCCCTGTCAAATAATACCATGCGGGACACATTCGTTTTTTCTTCGCGCGCGCACGCCGTCGTCGTCGGCCGCGGGGCCCTGAATAGTAGCCACGGTCGTCCGCATGCCACGAAGTGAAGTGTCCGAACGTCATAGGGCGGGAAGCTGGGTGTGGGTGGTGGCGAAGAGTCGTTTGGAAATTTGGTAGAGCTTGAACCGGCCCCCCCACAAAGTGGGGGTATTGCCCGCCTCCTATGAAAACCCTGGCACTGGTGAGAACGGAGTGTCCCCACGTGCTAGTAATTGTTGTTGTTGTTGTTGTTGTTGTCGTTGTTGATGTTGATGTTGCAGTTGTTGTTGAATGCTAAGTACTAAACAACAATTATTGTTGGACCCCTTGTTGCTGTTGTTGTTGCTGTTGTTGCTATTGCTGTTGTTGTTGCTGTTGCTGTTGCTGTTGCTGTTGCATGCGAAGTACTAAACAATAGTTATCGTTGGGCCCCCCCAGGCGCGTTGGCGCTCTCGCTTCGGCGCCGGCTACACTTACATTGAAAATGAGGCTCACGCTCGAAAGGTTTGGGGGGGCGCCAAAACGGCCCCCCCCAACAACAGCAACGCTCCCGCTCGAGACTCTTTTTTCTTTTACTCAGGGCTGGTGCTCGTGCTCGCCGCCGAAAGCCGCCGTCCTAACAAAACCAACGCTCCTGCTCGAGACTTCCTCCCGTTTTACCTTGGGCTGGCGCGCTACTCTTTCTCTCATCGGCGCCGCCCCCAGCAAGAACAACGCTCCCGCTCGAGGTTCCCCCCCCTCTTTTTTACTCAAGGCGGTGCTCCTCCTCGCCGCCGACAACCGCCGCCCCGACAAAACCAGCGTTCCCGCCCGAGGCGTCCTTCTGTTTTACGCTGGACAGGCGCCTTATTCTCTTTTGAATTGGCGCCGTTCCCAGCAAGAACAACGCTCCCGCTCGAGGCTTCCTCCCTTTTTCCTGAAGACGGTGCTGTTCCTCGCCGCCGACAGCCCCCGTCCCGACAAAACCACGGCTCCCGCTCGATGCTTCTTCCTTTCTTATTCCAGGCGGTGTTCCTCCTCGCCTCCGAAAGCCGCCGCCCCGACACAACCAGCGCTCCCGCCCGAGACTTCCTTCCGTTTTACGCTGGACTGGCGCCCTATTCTTTTTTGAATTGGCGCCGCTCCCAGCAAGAACGACGC